CGGATCCAGCCTCAGTGCTCTTCTCCTCTCTAGCAGATCCTTGGTGGCTTTCGAAATTCGTTCCAAGTTTTTTGTGCGAGACATTAAGGTGCTTTCACCACAGGCTCTCCTAAGCAGATAGTAGTCTTTCGTCGGGTCCTCCTCGATGGGCCAATCACAAGTGGTCAGGAGCTCCTCTAATCTGACGCCGCCATATACGACTTCTCGATTTCCTCCATCACGGTGAAATATCTTTCTTTCCAGCTTTCGGCTGAATCGCATTTTTGCTCGAAGGAGGCGGTGATCTGAACCACTGCTGAAGGATTATACCTTTGAGACGTCCAGTAAGCACCACTTTCGGTTGGTGAGAATGTGGTTGATCTCCGCATGAGTCGTACCGTTGGGTGACTCCCATGTCCACCGCCGGTGTTTTTTCTCATGAAAATGGAGTTGCCATGAAAAAGTTGCGGCGGAAAGCCCAACAAAACGGTTAACATTCTCATTCCGGAGTCCTGGTCCAAATCTCCCGATCCTGTGCTCCCCTTCTTCTGTTATCCCGATTTTCGCATAGAAGTCACCCACGACGAACTTATAGAAGGAGTTTTCTTTGTGGAACGTGATGGAACCTTTTCACCACGATGGGTGTATCATCACTCAGCCGCCTCACGTCCGTCTTCCTGGACTTTGTTTCCTGCAAGGCGATTACGTCGTAGTTGATGCGCCCTGCACCTTCGAAAAGGGCGTGGAGATCGGCGTTGGTGGAAACTGTCCTGGCGTTGTAGGTGCAGAGCCTGAGACAATCTCCATGGCGAGTCGTTCATGCCCTTTAATCCATGGCGTCCTTTGCAACCTGACACTGGTCTTGATACATGCTGTAAGGGCAATGAATAAAGGAATCTTTCCAAACATTAGCAGTGTCCCGCCAGGGCCTTGCCAAGCTTTCACCACTGGCAATCGCTGACCTTATATGGATCAGGGAGATATGTGCCACCTAGCGACTGGCCAGGCGGTGGTGCTTCTGGCATGGCCTACTCTTAACTGGGCATCCGGAGAACCGTAAACGTCGAACTCCTTCTCAGCTTGGGAGACCCTGCTGGAGAAAACCTCCGCTGTACTTCGCAGTTCGACACCAGAGTCACCCTCGCGCCACGATGATTAAAAACTAGAAGAAAAAATGCTCAACCGGCTACATAATTTTTTTATCGTAAGAAGCTTTAAGACTTTCAGCACATTATTTTGTGGGGTGATGGATATGCTTGGTAAAATCATATCCACTCCCCGCCTTACCATAACGGTGGCTATATGCTCATTCCTACTGGGTCACATTTTAGACAAATCTGCGGAATCCGTGGTCAAAACCACAGATTTTTTGAAAGGATCAAGAATAAGCGTTAATTGTATCTGTGCTATGTGTAGAAGTTAACGGGGAAAAATTCAGAGAAAATCATCTAATAGTCTGAATATTGATCAGAAAGCAAATTTATCAAAATACCCAAAATATATAAAATTCCTAAGGCACATAAAGCCCAATCAAGTACAAAGTGGGGCCAAAGAGGCATATTGAAGCCAATGAGGTTGCTATTAATACTTTTACAGTTTTCCAACCATTTTGTCAACTACTGTACACCGTCTACTAGAACGGTAAGGGAACGAATATTTTTGGTCATAGATAAGAGCATGCAATAAAAAAATAGGTTTGATGACAGATTAGATATTACTGGCAAAATCCTCCAGTTTTCACAACCAAGAATAAGTTAGCTAGACAATTCTAAGAAACAGTACCGTCAGTTTCTTTGGAAAGTTTCGAGAGATTTTTCCGTCCCAAAGTCACACGCGATTTGTCAGCTTCCTTTATTTTACATAGTAAATGTAATGTATCGGGTTCGAAATATTCCCTTCTAAAATATATTTGCCCGCCTGCTGATATGCATATTTGACAAGTTTTTAGAACGTCAAATTACCACAGCACAAAGGCGAATACAGCACTTCTTAAAATACAATAGAACTATTCCATTGAACCATAAAACTTTAATCTAACTTATTTGCAGCTGACACTTCAACATTGACTAGTGCACTGCACATTGCTTTGAAAAATTTTGTGGTCATAATCCAGAGTCTTAAATATGGAGATGCTTCTCTGCAGCTATCGTCAAAGAGCTCAGAAGATGAAGCATTGCTTGAAATGGGCTCAACTCTGCCTTTCTTAGGCATTAGTCGCCTTCTACATCTGCGGAGCGCGTCCTTGAAAGAAGATGTGAACCTAATGGCTTAAGGGAACCGCTCAAACTTAAAGGTAGAAATGGTTGGACAAGAGCTAAGATGCAGTCTATGAAGCAAATGGGAAGCAGTTCAAATCCTATTTCTCTGGTGCTTTGTGTTCTTGCAAACGCGATTTTTTTGAAATTCATTTATATGACCTAACTCATAACAAAACTGAAATTTTTTGAATATCTCAAAACTATTTTGTTCTTAGAAGAACATCCTTGGTATACGATGTAATGTGCATCTACGAATGCAAGGATTATTCCTGCAAAAATGCATAGCCGCCTGGCAAGGAATTTCAACCCTTCACCCCCTCCTCTCCGGACTGCATGCTAACCACTGCGACATTCCGAGGTTATTACCTAGATCTGAGGTTTTCATAGGATCTTCCAAAAACCCGCGCCGCAGATATGTGAGGGAATTACAGGCCTTTGTTACAAACTCTCCTCAGCAACATACGTTCAAAATGGCCTGGTCGACCAATTATTCTTCCTTTTCGAGCTTACTTTCCCCGCAGTTATCAGACGATTCAAGTCAAGAAG